TTACGCAGATCACCATGAAACCTCGCCGTCCCCTGAGGGGCAGCGATCCGCGAAGCTGTCGCCACCTTCGTGGGCTCCTGGGAGGCCCAACGGAGGTGCGTCATGCGCAGATCACTATGAGACCTCGCCGTCCCCTGGGGGGCTGCGACCTGCGAAGCTGTCGCTACTTTCGTGAGGTCCTGAGAGGCCCAGCGGAAATGCGTCTTGCGCAGATCAGACCCCGCCGTCCCCTGAGGGGCTGCGATCTGCGAAACTGCCGCCACTTCCGGGGGGGTCCTGGGAGCCCCAGCGGAGGTGCGTCTTACGCATATCACCACGAGACCTCACAGTCCCCTGGGGGGCTGCGATCCCCGAAACTGTCCCCACGCCGTCCCCTGGGGGGGCGCGATCTGCGAAACTGTCGCCACGTTCGTGGGCTCCTGGGAAAACCCCAGCGGAAGTGCGTCTTACGCAGATCACCGTGAAACCTCGCCGCCCCCTGGGAGGCTGCGATCTGCGAAACGGTCGCCACTTTCGTGGGCTCCTGGGAGGCTCAACGGAGGTGCGTCTTACGCAGATCACCGCGAGTCCTCGCCGTCCCCTGGGGGGCTGGGTTGCGACGTTGGTGGGTCAGCGGCGCTGCTCCCACGAATCATGCCTCCCATCGTCTTTCCTCATTGTGTTTCCACACTCCCTCGTGGCCACCTTCCTGCCAACGATCTGACTCTTAAGAGCGACGCCGCATATGTGAACATGTGACTCTGGCCCGACGTTCTCTGGCGAATCGTTCAAGGGCACGGCGGATCCTTCAGTGCACGCTTTTGTATGGGGCTGGGGCGGTCCGATGTGTGGTCGCCTCATGTGTACAAAGGGTTGGGTACGTCCCTGGGTACACGTCGTTCATTTCTAATCGTGCTCATGTCTAATTGTGCTCGTTTCTGATTGTTCCTGGCCCCCTGGTGGCCAGGAAGAGGCCCAGGATAGAATAAATTGAAATGAGAAGGGTCTTGGCCCCAACAAAAATCAAAGAACGTTCGAATACTTAGAAATGAGCCATGTGTCGTTTTCTATTTCGGGCAACGGTCGTTACCACGGGAGAGGGGGGTTGGGCCCCGGGGCGGGGTGAGCACGCGAGAGCCGCAGCACACCTGTGCGGAACACAGCATGCCTGCGAGCACCAGCATGGGGGTTGTCTGGTATGTTCGGCTGCACGTAAGAGTGACCCTGGGCAAGAGTGACCTGTGGTGCGCGGCTTTTGGGGGGCCGCGGGGGGACCAAACCTGGGCGCGCAAGCCACTGCTCCTGCTTCGTTTTCAGCCATCTGGGGACCCATCTGTGCCCGCACCAAAAGTCACTCCGGCGAAAGGTCACTCTTACGTGTAGTCGATGTGTGGTTGTGGTCGTCCGTGCGGGTGGGGGGGTCCCGGCCATCCCCCGCACGTGCGATCGTCACCGTGACCCGGGTCGGGGAGAGGCCCTGGAAACGGCCGCTACAGTCAACCCGTACAGTAAGGATGCGCGCGAAGGATGCAAGGGCCTTGGACGCCCATTTCGAAGCTCTTCGAGCGGGGCGCGGCCAGCGAAAATGGCCAAGGATGGACCGAGGAGGCAAGGATGCAAGGGTACCCTTGGGAAGGTTGCCCATCCTTACTATGCGGGTTGACTGTACGCGCCAGGGGATAAAAAGAGTAATCTCTTCCACACGGGTTGATACAGAAAGTAGATACCCTGCGAACGAAATCCACAAATCCTGAGCCCGGCGAGAGTGCCATGCACAAGAGGGACAGGAAGGCTCCATGAGCCGGTGGTGCGCTGAACGCCGCAAGCGAGCTCCACGCACATGAAAAACGTGAAAACATATGCTGGCGTCATCCCTCCCTCCCTCCATCCCTCCCTCCCTCCCTACTCTCTCCTCCCGCGCCTTCTCAGGGCGCTGCGTTGGCGTGCAGATCACCGTGTTGTTGTGTTCTCTGTCGTCCGTCGTCCGTGTCGTCGTGGGGACGAAGATCCTTGTCTCAGGCACCGGGGACCGCACACGCTCGCGGATACGACTGTCGGTTTAGCAGTCAGCTTACGCCATCCTGGCCTTGACGAGCAACAGAGACATGCTCATGCCCTCTCTCAAAATGGGTCGCTTTATGCCCTCCGCTGTCTCGTCTGCGTGGTGTCTCGGGGCCGAAGGTATCTGCTTTGTCTCAGGCATGTGTCGTAAGTTCGAGACTTGCCACCTTTCTTGTGTTTCGATCGTGGGCGCTGCGCAAAATATCGCACCAGGACCGCCCCTTGCTGCCTTCCTGTCTTGCACCGCTAGCTGGCCACTGAGCTGTTGTTACTGTGCGCTGTGCTGCACTTGGTGTCCATGCTGGACTTGGCTGAATATTCTGCTAGTGGCAGCGCCGTCTTTTGCTGAGAGGCTCTCGGCTTCATCAGCGTCGCAATCCAAAACGTCCCTCCACCTCCCTTGCCATGAGAGGGCAGGGCCCCGGGGGAACGGATCCTGGACCTCGGGGCTTTTCCAAAACCTGCGTTTTCCTTGCGAATTGCTCTTTGATGGTGTATTGGGACCTGGGGGGGGCTCCGAACGCTTGCAATTCGCCTGGCGAGTGACTCGACCCTGTGTGAGGTCGTGGGGCGCCGGCCAGGCGAGCCCGCCCTGTCTGGGCCAGAGGCGGAGCTCCCTGGGGGGGCACGATCCGAAGACAGGGGCTGCGCCGAATTGGGCGGAGCGAGCCCATGCGAGCTCACCCTCTTAGGGCGACGAGATCTATACATATCCACTGCTCCCTGGCCAGGCCCATCCTCAACCCCGCAGCGGTGTATACGCCACGCCCTCCTGGCTTGGCCAGGAGGGCGCATACACAGCTCCTGGGTTCAAGATGGGCATGGTCAGGGAGCAGTGGATATGTATAGATTTCGTCGCCCGACCTCTGGGGGCGTCGGTGGAGCCCCCCACGGGGCACGAGACGTGCGAGTGGTGCACCGGATGGGGAGGGGCAGCGCCGTGCGGACGCACCCACGGGGGCCGCAGACGGAGCATGTGAGGCAAGAGGAGAGAGGGGGAAGGAGAGGAGGAGGAGAAGGGGGAGGAAGTGATGACAGGAGGGGGAGGAGGACGAGGACAAGCATAAACCCAAGACTCACTAACGATCTTGCAGTAAACCCTCCCTGCAAGTTCCCTCTTCCTATGCCCCATACAAGGGTACACCTTCACAAAGGGGAGTATAGTAAATGCCACGGTGGAAGGCAATCGCTTGAGAGTCCGGAAGTGTGCCAGAATACCATTCCTGGAACTTCAACACGCGAATCACCATTATTTCTGCGTCTTGACGACCCTGAATCGTGGCAGAACGCTATCCCTGGGACTTCAACACCCCGAATCAACGTGATTTTTGCTCCCTGACAACCCGACATCGTGCCAAAACGCAATTTCTGGGAGGTTAGCCATGCTATTCCTTCTTACGGCTGCAATATGTTAAGACGAATGCGCGCGGCGCTAAAGCGAGAACCACATTTTGAAAATGAGCCGCCCTCCATCCGCGAAGCCCTTGCACATCTTGAAAATGAATGTACGCGGCGCTAACTCGAGAGCCACATTTTGAAAGCGGGCCACCCTTTATCCGTGAAGCTCCGGTACTTTGCTAAGACGATTGCGCGTGGCGCTGAGGCGAGAACCACATTTTGAAACTGGGCCGCCCTCTATTCGTGAAACTCCGGCAAATGTTCAAGACGAGTGTGCGCGGCGCCGAGGCGAAAACCACATTTTGAAAGCGGGCCGCCCTCCATCCGTAAAACTCTGGCAAAATTGCAAAACGAATGTGCACGACGCTGAGGCGACAACCACCTTTTTGAAACTGGGCCTCCCTCCATCCGAGAAGCTCTTGCACTTTTCAAGCTTCAGGATCATCATTTGTGGAGAATTCTCGAGCGAAGCGCCCAGCCCACTCTTCGACCCGCCTCGGGGTGCGACAGGGAATAATTATTTGTAAGGAAAAGGAATGGCGGAGGAGGTGAGGCGGCGTGGGGCGAGGTGGGGCGTGGCGCGGCGGAGCCAAAACGAGGCCCAACGGGAAGCCTCAGGTGAGCGACGAAAACGAGCGGCTTGATGGCACTACTCGTGACCTTAAGCCGCGGCTTGCGCAGGCCGTAAGCGCGACACGCCGCATTGGAAACGAGGGGGGCGCTTACGCGCGACCTCACGCGGGCACCTTCGCGCCAATGCCGGTGAAGACGACACCGTTTTTCTCCGTCGCTAAAAAAGCGATATCTCCCCCTCTTCCCCGAAATGCCCCCCCTCGTCGCCGGCGCCGTCACTGGTGCGCGCCCGATGGCTCATTCTGATGGGCCTGTTTTCCACCACCACCACCGTAAGCTGGAGGGGGGAAGGAGGAGGATGAGGAGGAGGAGGAGGAGGAGGTGGAGGAGGAGGAGGAGGAGGACCCCCTCCCCCTCCAACTTATGGTGGTGGTGGTGGAAACCAGGCCCATCACATTCGTGGAGTCCGAAGGGGGGGGGGCCGAGGTCGTGCAGCATCCGCAGCCGTGCCACGAGCCACCGACACGGCTGGATGGCGCGGGCCCCCACCTCGCCAACGCTCTGGCGGCGCGCACGGGGACGCGAGAGGGGTGGCGGCCCGGCCTGCTCTGGCCACCGACACGGCTGGGTGGCGCGAGAGGGGTGGCGGCCTTCTGATGACGGAGGGGGGGCTTCTACGAAGGCGGGATGTCTTCTTGGAAGCTCTCCCAGCCTCCGAGGGGCCCTCTTCGAGGCACCCCGGCCCACCTCTGCCCGCTCTGGGAGGGGCTTGACGCATACACCAAGTCGTCTGGTCGGCCAGGGAGCTCAGTGTGTAGACGCCCCAGCTTCCGTGGGGCGCTGGAGTGCTCATACACAAAATTCCTTCGCCGAACTACTTGGCTCCCTGGCAGGCCTAGCGATCCGATGTATACGGCGAGGCCCTCCGACGCTCGACAGCCCCACCCCCGGCCCAGGCCCAAGCAGACACATGGTCACGCGGCAGACTTTCACACGTTCAGCTGGGCCACGGGGGTGGCGGAACGCGCGGGACCGGCATCGTCCGTACCAGGATGCAGAGAGGGCTCCGTCTTCTCCAGGGCGTCCAGATGGTTCAACGTGTCCATCATGCTCACCATGTTATGCATGATCCATTCGCACTGGTACTGCAACTTCATGACGTCTATGGTCTTGGCCTCACCCTTCAGCCGGAAGCAGCCGAGTAAGAATTCATCCACGTTGATGAAGCCTTTCCGGTCGCGGTCCAGCAGCAGGAATAGCGTGCGCACGTCTGTCACATCCAGATCCAGCGCGTGGAAGCTGCTCACCAAGCAGTTGTTCACGTCGAGCAGTGCCTGGTGCATACTCTCAAAGGTCACAGTGCCGTCGCCATCTGGATCTAGCTCGTCGAAGAGCTCGTGCAACCTCTTGATACTTGTGAGCCTCTTGTCGGTGGCGTCCTGCTCCTGCGAGGCCTTGTCGTTTCGCGCCCAGTGGTTGGCGATCTCCACGAAAAACCGCCAGCTCCATCGTAAAGCGCCAGGCTGTGAGGATCCCTGCTGGACAGCTGTCTTGCTGATGTCTCCTGCCGTTGGTCCTGTTCGCTCCATCTCCTGAAAACAAATCTCTGATTACTAATGAGATGCCCCAGCTTCCTTCCTCCCGCCATCACGCCTCCTCACTCCCGCCTCCTTACTCGCACTTCCTACTCCAACTCGCCCATAGTCAGTCCAACTCGTGTACTGACGCATTCATACTCGGACCCGCTCATACCCAGACCCACTTATAATCATTATCACTCCCACTACGAGTGACTCACATTCAGCGGTGCTCTGGCTCTTATGCGTTCACACGCATGCTCAATCATATCCAGTCTTGCGCGAATTCAATGTATGTCGTGTTCAAGTTCGCTCAAACTCAATCGAATTCACGGCTACTCCGACTGACTCACACGCATCATCGCTCCCAATCATACGAATTAACACCCTGTATCACTCATGAGTAGACTCACTCACACTCGGATTCACTCGCAATCACACTCATCAACATTCAAGCGTGCTAACTTCTCTTCGTAACCCCCTGATCCCCGATATGAAACAAACATCGCAATCGAAACTTCCGGGTAGAAGCCGCCAGGAAGTATGACACTGGCCCCATCGCGTCCGCATGTGTTGGACATCTGAACTAGAATGGCCGTTGGCGGTGGCAGTTGCGCATGCTTTGAGAACTCCATGTCCGTTGCCATGTATGAGGCATCGCGCTCCTTCGTAGACGTTCGCTGATCACGCCCCCACGACCACCGCGATGAAGCGAGCATCGCCCTCGCGCTCCTGACTTGCCAGCTGCCTCCCTGGCGCCTCTTTGTCTGCTCATTGGCTACTTATTGGGCGGCCTCTTTGGCTGCATCTCAGGCTGCATTCCCCACCCAAACGAGCGAATCAGATGCCTCCGATCGGGTTACACGACGCTCCAAGCACATATCCCTGCCTCTCCCTCCACCTTTCCGCCCTCGTCCTCCTTCGGCCAATCCAGCTTCTTATTCTCTGGGAGGGGCGGCTTTCAAGTTGCAAGCGCGTGCGGGCCGCCTACGTCGCGGCGAGTTCGAACGAGTAGGGGTCCTACGAATATGTCGGGAAGAACAACTGGGGGCACGGCGCCCCGCGCGGAGCGACTCTGAAAACACGGGCGGGCCCTGACAGCGCAGGCCGAAAAACCATCCAAAAAAATATCTGCCAATGGGGCACGATAGCGGCCCGGCGGATTGGTGCACCCATGTTGGCCAAATGTTAGGGGAATAAGCAAAAACAAACATATACAAATCGAAAGCGCACTGACCCGCAGGCACCAATGCTGATACCACAGTGCAAACGACAGACGAGGAAGAGGAGGAGAGCACTGGGCCAAGGAGGCAAAGAATTAGACCGACCCGGCCCTAATTCGATACCTGAGAAGATCCCTCCGTCCCCACGCGCCTGCCCCGCCCAGCGGGGTCCTCCTTCAGCTGGCCGCACAGCGACGGCTCGAGAGCAGGCCACATCCTAATGTTGCCCTGTAGACGAGCCTTAGCCATGGAGAGCACAGGGATGTTCTTCTGGGCCAGTGCAAGCTCCTTCCTATCATGATACAAGGAGCACAGGCATTCGATATACACATGAGGAGGAGCAGGAGGAGAAGGAGGAGGAGGATGACGAAGAAGAGGTCCGTAGCCATTTTGGCTCAAGCCATTTTGGCTCAATCCTTGGACCCGAGCGGGCTTGGGGCGATGCGTGTCGCCCTTAGGTGGGCAGTCCGCGCACCGTACGAGATACTTCCAACGCTCACTCATTGCATTATTTCCCCATCGCTCGTCTCCTCTCACTTCAATCCTAAATAATATTGCGTTGAGGCCAAGATGGGCAGCAGATATTGTTCTTATCAGCAGCGTCGCACTTGACTTAAAAAGGCGCGGAAGAGACAATACAGAGTATGGAAAGGCGCTATATGATCGGATTATCAGTACGAGCGCATCGTACGTGCTTGTCTTACAACGATCTGGGGCGACTACTTACATCTATCGACATCGGCCGCAACACTCAGCTTACTTCAAAAACTGGTGATATCGATTGGCACGGCATTGGTACTTAGAATCCGCATACTCACCGACCAGCAGGCCAACAAACTCGGCAGCAGACAACACCGCAGCACACCCAGCAGACCACCCAACAGACCACTAGAAGACCGCCAGCAAACCACCTAGCAGCTATCCCCCACGACAACACCCGTCACCACGACAGCTACCACGACAGCAATCACGACAACCACCACGGCAGCCACCACGACAACTACCACGACAGTCACCACGACAACTACTACGACAGCTACCACGACAACTACTACGACAGCTACCACGACAACCACCACGGCAGCCACCACGACAACTACTACAACAACTACCACGACAGTCACCACGACAGCCACAGCGACAGCAACGCGACAGCCAACACGCCAACCACCACGGCAATAACGCGACGGCCTCAACGACAGCCACCACGGCAGCCGCGACGGCAGCAATACGACAGCCACCGCGACAGCGTCCACGACAACTGCTACGACAACTACCACTATAGCCACCACTACAGCTACTACGACAAGCGCCATGGCAGCCACCACGACAACTATTACGACGGCTACCGCGGAAGCCACCACGACTGCCACCACGACACCAGCATGACAGCCACCACGACACCACGACAACCACCATGACAGCAATTACGACAGCAACACTACAACCACCGCGACAGACACCACGGCAACTACCATGACAACTATTACGACAACCACCGCGACACCCACCGCTACAGCAACGCGACTGCCAACGCGCCAGCCACAGCGGCAACAACACAACCGCCACCACGAAAAGCACCACGACAGCCACCACGGCAGCAACACGGCAGCCACCGCGACAGCCAACGCGACGACCACCACGACAACTAGCACTACAGCTACCACGACAACTTCTGCGATAACTGCCACGACGGCCGCCGCGACAGCCACCAGCACGGCAACTCGACAGCCACAACGACAGGCACCACGGCAGCAACACGACAGCCACCATGACAGCAACTACGGCAGCAACGCAGCAACGTCCAGGACAGCCACCACGACAACTAGTCAATTAGTACGACAGCTACCACTACAGTTACCATCACAGCGGCCGCGACAAGCACCACGGCAATCACCACGACAACTATTACGATGGCTAACGTGACAACCACCACGCCTGTGCCCACACCAGCAACGGGACAACCACCCCGACAGGCACCACGGAAGCAACGCGAAAGCAACCACATCAGCCACCACGACAGCAGTTACAGCCACCACGACAACCACCACGACAGCCACCACATCAGCAATACGGCAGTCATCGCAACAGCCACAGAGACGCTTACCACGACAGCCACCACCACAGCTACCACGACAAGCACCACGGCAACCGCCACAACAACTATTACAACAGCCACCACGACAGCCGCCGCGACAGCCAACACTACGGCAACGCGACAGCCACCACAATAAGCACCACCGTAGCAGCACGGCAGCCACCACGACAGCAACTACGGCAGCAACGCGACAACCACCACGACAGCCACCACGACAATTACTACGACAGTTACCACAATTACCACCACAGCTGTCACGACGACCACCACGGCAACCACCACGACAACAACCACGACAGCTGCCGTGACAGCCACCAGTACAGCAACGTGGCAAACACCACGACAGCCACCGCAGCAGCACAAACCAGCAGACCATCAACAGACCACCCAGCGAAACACCCACCGACCAGCAGACAGCCGACGACAGCGCACCAACCAGCAGACCACCGACGACTGACCAGCCCATCATACCAAGCCTGCCCCCGCTTTGGCTTGTACCGCCGCGTCCAAGGCGTACTGCTTCATGCATCCCTTGACATGGGGTGCCACCTTCAGGGCGGCATGCAACTACCACGATTGCAACGACACCGACGAACACGACACACACACACGACGAAGAGGCACCAGCTACCCTCCCCCACGTCTCTTCTCCACAGCGACGCCTCCTCTGCTCCCGACGTCGTCGACGCCACCCTTCCCCGCTACGCCCTTCCCCACGACATCACCTCTCCCCACGACACCCTTCCCCTCGACGGTCCCCCTGAAGTTTCAGATGGCGATAATGGTTTCAAATGGGTTGACAGCAACGGCTGGCGGTTTCATTATGTGATGGAGTGCGGATGGCTGCCTTTGGATCCAGAAGGCGCGTGCTCGTCTATGTGCGCGGGCAAACCGGAGTATAAAACGCCTGCACTACAGGCTCCACCTGTGCAGAGCCGCACTCACGATACACAAGAACTGGCGACGACACCAACCACAAGAGATGTGCGACCCCCACGACAACCACCCTACGACCTCCACCGCGCCGGCGACGACGACCACCACTCTGACGACGACGACTCCCACACCCCTCCAGACGACCGACCCCGCAGCCTTCCCGACGCCCTCCTTGAAGCCTTACCCGACGACACCCCTCCCGACGCCCTTCCCGCCGCCTGTCCCGAAGCTAACGACAACGACACTTGCACCTTCCCCAGCGACGACGACGACGATTACCTTGACGACGACTTCTTTGAGGGCTACCACAACTACTAAGACTACTGCGACAGCTACCACGACGGCCACCACAACCGGCACGACATCCACGAGACACATCACGACGGCTACCACGACGCCCACTCCGACGCCCACCACCACGACGGCTACCGCGACGGCTACCACGACAGCCACGATGCCCGGCCCGACGCCCTACCGGACGCCGAGCCCAACGAACTACCCGCCGCCCA